TCTTACAAGTTTTAGACTCTAACTTTAATAAGAAATTCATTAATAATTATATAGAAGAGAATGTTTCTTATAATTTATTAGAAGTAATGTTTATTTGTACTGTTAATAAAATTCATTATTTACCTAATAAAAGTGGAGATTGTCAAAAATTATATAATTCCTAATTATCATGCAATTAGAAATATAATTAGCAATTATACTACTAAAAAGAAGAAGAAGGAAAATCTAAGAACTAAGTCGATAGATTGATACATTTTTCGCAAATTTTTGGTTAAGTTAGAAATGGATTCTTTTCTTTAAGAGGAAATTACTTCCTCCAATTTGCATGAATTTTTGAATAAGCAGGATTATAAACATTTTAATCTTAAGTAAATTCATGATACTAAATAGGCATATAACATTATCCTGACTGACAAATAATGAAAATTTATATAACAATCTTCATATTATGACTACAATAATCATAATAATTATTATAACAAACTTGTTAATATTATTGTGGATCGATTAAAGGAAAAATTCTTTTATTTTTATTTCTTCTATTTTTTCTTATATAATTTTATTTTATTTTCTTTTTGCAATTATTTCTTATTATTTTAAATTTACTTCATTAATTGTATTTTTATTTTTATTATATATTATATTATTTTCATTTTTACTTAGTCTTAATAATATGATAATTCTTGAAAATCGTTTTAAATTTAGAAAAGATGTTTATGAAATTTCTTTTTTTGTATCTTTTATTTTTTTATTCTTTCAGAAATTATTCCTTATTATTTTAAATTCTTTTTGTAAATTGTATTTATATTTTATATTATATATATTTTATTTTCATTTTTACCTGATTTTCATTTATGATATTTGTTAATTAATTTACTTTAAACTATGATTCTTTATAATCTTGATTTTGATACTTATTATTATATTATTTAGTGATAAGATTGAAAATTAAAACATTTCACTAGTCAAAATAGAAATATTCGACCTTCAGAAAATTCAGTTTAAATTCGGCAAAAATCAAAAAAATTCGACCTAAATTAGTAAAAATATGCAATTTGATATGTATTCAACCTTGCATAATAATGGCCAAATTGCATACCAATTTTTTAACATATATTCAACCATATCTGAATTGTATACAATTTTTCTTATAAAACTGCTAATGGTCGAATTATATCAGAATTATACATAGCTGAATTGTATGCTTTTTATTTATTTTTTAAGAATCATATTCAATATTCGAATAGTAGCAACTTCAAGTTTGAATTTTGTATTAAATCAACACAAGTGGAACTTTCTATTTATAGGGATAACAGCTAAATATTCTCTGGAATTAGTTCAATCTGATTTTTTATATTTTACAGGTATAAAATGATCTAAAACATTATGTATCGAAATAATGTTGTCTCTACTGTCTGAATAGAAATTATTTTCCCACAATTCAACATTGCAAATCCTGGCATCATCATTAATACTAAAATGATATCAAATTGACGATGAATTCGCTAATTTAATATAAGCTAATTTATATGTCAAATTTTGGGAAAATAAATGAACGCTATATTTAAAAAAAAATTGAATTTGGCCTGCATAAGTATCAACGCTCTTTCCATCATGACTAATAAATTTAGCTAAGACGAACGAACTTTTAATATGTCGTGATGAAGCTGCAGATCCAAAAATTTCTGCGCTGATTAGATATCTTTCATATCGATTCACTCTTTTAATAATAATCATTGAATTGAGCGAATCTTCTATAAATAGTTTTCTGAATATTAAATCCACATGTGTATCCTCATAATATTTTATAAGTAATTTGTAAATTTGTTCGTCAAGACGAATATTTTCAGATTGTGATGCTAGAAATTTACCTGAAAATTTCTCACATCTAGTAATTGGTGATTCCAATATATTCCTAGAATTCATCAAAAATTAATACATTTTATCTGTTGGTAATTCGGAAAGAGATCTAACAGAAGGTTATTTATCAAGTAGTTTGAGGTCTTTTACTTCTGAACATGAACTGATAATATCATTTACTTGTGTTTTAGTCATCAATCGATGTATTAGTTCAGATTCGATTTGATGGTGGCTGTTAGACAAAGATCCTAATAAAATAATTTATAAATAATTATTATTATATTAAACATAATTGAAATAATGACACAATAAATAAATTTAAATTTATTTCACCTAATACGCTATTTATCCGTTCAAAGTTAAAATACCAAAACGAATATAGGGTCTGTAATCATAAGAACATTCATATAGATGTAATGATAGATAACGGTTTGGCATTATTTTTCCTTCTCCATAGTGCTTTTCAATCAATTTAATTATTTTAATTAATTCATCATGAGCTTCCTTTATGTCGTTAATCTCCATAATTCATCTACCTAAAATTGTACAATCTCTTATGAAATATGTAAGAATTTTCTGATCTTTATCTGAAAGATGATCCTATAATACAACGGTGGCATATATTATAAAGAAATTTTACTACTGATCAGCGGTAAAATTAGAGAATCCTTTACTGCAATGAATTTTGCCAGGAATTTGACCCAAATCTAATGATATCATGAATTTATTCATTTTCTTCTGAATTGATTAGAGATTTTTTTCTATTAATATACCTTTATCAATCCATATTCATTTTGTTAACCACTTAGCAATTCCTAAATAAAGGCAGTGTATAAGATCAATGATAATAAAATGAATCAGATCAAAATATAACAGCTGCATTAGTTTAGACTACCTTACGCTATGCTTCTTAACGAATCTATCCCTTTCTGCTTTAGATTTACATCGTTACTATTCTAAAGCATTTTGCCGATGTTTGCCTTGATCTTTCATAACAAACCATTTGTCTATATCTGCTATTTCACCAAAGTTACGTTGTTTGTTAGCCTTTTTCACATTGATGATATGATGCAAGGGTAGAAATGTATTCGCATAATTTACGAGCTATGGGAATATCACACAAAGTAATTATTAATGCAACTCAAATATCTTTACTATCTGGACACTCATTAGTGTAATTAATAGTCATGTCTTCCCAAAGTGACTCTAATTCTGTAATTATAAGTGAAAGATAATAGTTTATTTTATGTAAGCTAACCTCATTAGGTCCCAGTAATATGCCAAGTATAAGCATATTTTCTGGCTTAAATCAAACATCACGAGATAGATTACATATTACCATGTATATTACGCCTATGCTATATATCATCTCTTCATATAGCTGGAACCAGTCTAAATTCATCATTAATCCAAGATGAGTATCAGCCACTTCAGGTCAAAAAAATTATTTGACCCTTGTTCAGATGATTTCTTAAGATTTTGCCATACTTGTCTATCGTAAATATCTAATAAAACATTATCAATTGTTGAACAATGAGCCCAATGCCGTAATAATTTTTCAAATCCTAGTCATCTGAACATACTAAAAATTTGTTATTGTATACTTGAAACAGGATATACTAATTCAGGAACAATTGATATACTATTATTTAAAGAAATTTTCTTCCTTAAGGAAGTTCAACATTGCTTTGATCTCTTTGTAGTCGAATTTGGAAATTCAACATGGCTGCACTTTCTAATAGTATTATTGTTCTCTAATATTACCTCATGTTTTTTGTATAATTTGTGGCATTTTTGACAAGCTGCAAATTGCGTAAATTGATTGATAAGGCCTAAGGATTTTCTTAACATATATAATGAATTTGAAAATGATTTGTGATCGATACTTTTACAATCTTTCAAAACTATTTTAATAAATTTAATTAAGTTATCAATTGCGGTATTAGATATGTTATAACTCAACCTGAACTTCATAATTCATATCAAAATCCCCTTAATTAGTTTATCTTTTAGTAATTCCAAAGTATCGAGTGTATCAAAATCGAAAATAGAATGTGAATAATTCTTGAATATATTTAAAAAATCATTGTTATCATTAGACAGATCTTCTTGTGCTGAAGATTTGCTGATATTATTATTGTCTGTGTTATATTCAGTTGACATAATGTTATCAGAATCTTCAGAATCTACCTCTACTTGCTCAACTTTAGTAATAGAACAAAACATGTCCATTTTTGTCCTTCTTTTACGTGAAAGAAATGTTAAATTTTGTTCTTCATGTATATCATTATTAGATGTATGTAATGAATTTGTATCACTCGATATTATCGTATCTTGTGGTTCTACTGACGATATTATTGTATCTTGTGATTCTACTAACGACATTGTCGAATTAAGCATTTCTAATAACATTTATGATATTAGAGTCTCATTAATAGGTAAAGATCGTAAAGATATTAATCGCTCTTCGTGTGCTTCTTTTATGCGCGAATCAACCAATTTTCCTTTACATTTGCTACAAAAATTCTGAACCTTTGCTCTTAGTTTTCTGGTCGTAAATTCGTCATTTTTAGTTAGAATTTGATTAGAACTCAAATTGTTATATTTGTCTAATATATAATCAGCAGTGCGTTTTCTTTCCTTTTTTTGCATTTTTTTTTTTGATAAAAAATTGTTAAATCAATTAAACTGGGTAAAGTTATAGTTTGTCTTGTTTTTATGATGAACAAAGTTATATTGACTTTTATGTATTTTAAATTAATAATATAATATCAATAACATTGTTTTACTGATTTATGCGAGTTTAATTTTACTAATAAAGTTATATATAGAGGTGAATGCACTTAATGATATTTAACTCTGTTGATTTATTGATATTTGACTTTGATTTATTTAATTGATATTAATATTTATTTAATTGATATTAATATTTATTTAATTGATATTAATATATTTATATTGATTTGATATATATCATATCGTTTGATTTTAAGAGAAATATTATTTTGATTTGATTTGATCATTAATAATTGAATCCAATTGATATGAAGTTTAAAAATAGTATAATAATAGATATAAAAGATGGATGGATTTTCTCGTCTTATACAAAGAAATATTTTCTTTCTTTTTAAAAAATATAAATGTCTCACAGGAAACCTTCATCAAAATATTCTCAACCTGATACTTCACAAAATAACCCACTTTCGTCAACTTCTCAATCTGATAACCCACCTTCGTCAACCTTTTCTCAACTTAATAGATCACGATATAATACAAGTTTATGAACATCTTCTCAACCTAATAGACTATAAACTTTGACAGATAAACCACGACCTTCAACATCATTTAGACTCATTGTACTGGCAGATGTTTTAGTTTCAATAGGCCAAACACCTTCAATACCTCCTCGATCTAAAGCACCAACTTCATCAAAAACTCCTTAACCTAATACACTAAAAAAATCTACAACTTCGTCAATAATTCAACCACGATCTCAGCTAACTGCGTCACAGATCACAACAACTTTATCGATACCCCTTGTCTCGTCAAAAGAAACAATACACCTTCAGTATCTTCTCAAACTTCTAATCAAACTTCCTCTCAAATTTTTAGCGAAATATCTTCTCAATCTTCCAGTCAAACTCTTTCACAATCATCCAGCCGAACTCCATCTCAACAAAATATGATGACATCGGATATTATTATAAAATATCCTAATATCAATGTATCAAAGAGTTACTGATCAAGTCACGAAGAAGTAACAAGTCACCAACCAAGTCATGAAAGTCATGAAGAAGAAGCAGGTAAATTGAATTTGTTATATTATAATAATTATTAAATATATATATATACATATGCTTCAACGTGATTCAATACACATTCATATAATTTAAATAAATAATTTAGTACTTAGGAATTTTAAAAAGAAAAACAATTTGCTTCAGAATGAATTACGTCAAGAACAGATCAAAGTAGCAGATATGAAATGAAAAATTAGTAATTTAGAAAATCATATTCGAAAAGTTAAAGAGGAAAATACCTTGCTGAGTAAATTCAATAGAATTTTTGGGATTGAGTCAGAAAAATTATACAAAGAAAATAAAGCCCTACAAGCAGAACTCGAGCGATATCGACAAATTCGCTTACCTCAAAGTCTTACTAACACTATGATCGAATGATATAATAAATTACTAAAATTGAAAGAAAAATTTCCTGACGAAGATAACGAAGTAACCGTGAGGGTAATAATTATTAGTTTGCTGAATTTATGTTAATACAACCTTTTTATATTTATTTTTGTTATATAGACTGAAATAAAAAATCTCATGAAAGGCCAAATCCTTAACAAATACGTGATAGATTATGATAAGACTTTATCTGAACAATCAGAGAAAATCTACAAGAAGTTAATTTCTGAATTAAAGAAGTTGATGAGTGGACATTTTAATCTGTCGGTCACTCAATTGGCTAGTTAGTTATGATCAATACACAAGCATAAAAGAGACAAAAATTGAAAGTAACAATCGGGCTAATTAAATAGAGATGATTGACGTATATACATAAATGCTTATTTATCTGAAGCGAGTATTATTTCATTTAATATATTTCTTTTTTATTTTGAATATTTTAATAACTAATCTTTATACGATTGACAGAAAAGAAACAGGAGAATCAAGGCAGCTATAAAACTATACGAACAAAATGATTATGATATACAAGAATTTGATAAAGATGAACTTTTACCTATTCTAGCTCAGAACGGATATTATTCTATTGAGCAATCTGATTTGGATGATGAATCGTGTAAAAATTGCCAAGCAACAAATGATTTCTCCATATATATGATCATCCATAGCGTTCGAAAAAGGTAATAAGCAAATTATTGTTATTTACTTTTTATAACATTTATTTAGTCATCTTTTATATTTGTTTTTAATAGCTAAAACATCTATTACGTGATATGTTAGATCCTTCTGCAGAGCAAATTCAACATGCGAAGAAGCAACAGGAATGAATTTACGATGATAATATTTATTTTATATATAGTAACCTCCTAAAAATACACCTGAATGGGCATATGATATGAAAAAAATTAAATACAAAGAAACAGATGCCAAAATACCTAAATACGAAGAAATGTCAGAATACGAAGTCGATGACGACTATGATAGAGAGATTCAAAATGATGATACAAATTTAATGGATCTGAATTTAGATTTCATACTAAATTTGTCAGAGATGAATTTGATTCGACCTGAAGATTTAGACAAAATTGGCGAATGCTCGTAATCAATAAATTGAATTAATTTTTATTATTTTTATTACAAACTAAAATATTTATATTATATTAGTAACAAAAAACTGAAAAGAAAAAAAGTCAAAAGGCAAAGAAAAAGACGAGGAATATTATGAATAGAACTTCTATAACAAACTTTTACTCTTCAATCTACATTCCAATCATTACACTATCATAAGTTTCAAGTCAAATATCATACCAATCACATACATTATTTTCTCATATATTTATTTTTAATTTATATTTGGTTTACATTTTTTTTAGTCAGTTAGTTTTATATTGTTAAATGAGTGTTTTTTAAATTTTATATTATTATTATATAGGGTATTAAATATTTTTTTTTTGTTATTTTATATTGACGTTATAATAATATATTATATATATACCAAAGTAATGCTTTAATTTATAAACTGAATGTTGTTGATAAATAGGTTGAATATATATTCTTTTAAAGTTGAATTTGCTACTTTTAAAAGTCGTATAAATATGTAATAATATCCTAATTTATATAAAATAATGGTCAAATTTTCTTTCTGAATATGGGCTAATTAGCATCTTAAATGCGTCAAAGAATTTGACCTAAATATGATGCAGGTTAGATCATCATTCGACATATATTTGACCTGGTCAAATTTTAGCTGAATTGTTCTATTTTGACTAGTGTTTACACAATGTTACCATGTGAAGTCAATCTTACTGCATCACAAAAATTGATGAATAATTAATGTTATTAACATCATTAGCATTTTTAACTTAATCAACATTTTTATTTTATTCTTATATTTTATTATTATTATTTATTAAATTATTATCATTGTTAAATTATAATTTATCTTTTATATTTATTTTATCATTATAAAATAGTTTAGCGTTAGTTAGCAATTTCTTATAATTGTATTTTTATATAAATAGGATAGAAATTTGTCCTTGTAAAAGGGCAGAAATAACAGTGTAAACTTAATAGTTCGAGTTCAAGACTTAGAATCCAAAGTTAAGGATTGCTAAGGATGCAAATCTCTACAATAAAAGAATCTCTTTCTAAACTACACATATTAGAATCCTTTAACATGTCAATTGTGTTTATCGTGTTTACAAATTGTTAAAATTATTTACTCATCTAAAATATAAACCTAAGGTTGATTGTAATAGGACTTATTCAATAGTAACTTAGTAATTTCTCACACATTACTCCCTGTTATTAAGTCATAGTTGCCCTAAGTTCGACGGTTGAGCGTAGAGTTAACAACAGAAATCACATTATTTCAAAAACAAATTTAATCCTAACACACCATTCTGAATTTGATAATTATTGTATACCCAAATTTTTTTTAGAAAAATATTTGATTATGAATAACAAATATAATCCACTTTATTTATTTCAGATCATATCCACTTGACAGTGTGGCAGACATAATTCTAGTAATTACCTTAGTTTTAATGCAAATGAGTATTGGAAAAAAATTGTCTTAGATTATTTTAACTTGAATAGTCTCAGTTAAACTAAAATACAAAACATTATCTCAGACATATAAAAAGTCTGTATCATAACCTAAAGGGTCATGTTATACCTAAAATGCGTTAATGTCTGAAATGCACATTTGGAATATCCTAAATGTGAAGATCGTTTGAAATATACGCTTGCAAATATGCATTTCAGATATCTCAAATACACATTTTGGATATCCAAATGCAAATATAAAGTTTATTTATATTTTTATTTACAATTTAAATAAAAATAAAGTTTTAAAAATATTAATATTAAATATAAATAAAATTTAAATTACAAGTCTGTCATTTAATAAACTCAAATAAATTGTGATCATTTAGAACAGTCTGAAATTAGTCTGAATTGTTCTTTTAGAATATTTTAAATGTTCATTTGTAATATGGGTTATAGACTAGCAAAATGCATCTTTGAAAAATATTTTACTTTTGAGAAAATTAGAACTTAAAATTTGATCGACATAAAATCACGTCATTGTTTATAGTTTATTTTTAGAACAAAAATGTAATAAAAAATCAATGTGATATAAAATTTTAAAAGAGTTTTTTAATTTTATATGACTATGTCTAACTTTAATAACTTTGACGATAAAGAAAATGACTCAATTTTTTCTTTAGACAATGTTGTTTTAGAATAATATGAAAAGAATGAATTTATGCAAGCAGTTATTAATGACTTAAAACAATTTTTTGTTTTTGCTAACTGTACTTGCCGTAATAAAAGAGAAAAATGTTTTAAAAAAGTTGGGTTTGAAGCTTTTCTTGAAAGACATTTAGAATTTCAAAGTTTAGAAAAAAAACAACTGGAATTTGTTTTAATGGGTCAACTATTAACTTTCCTTAATAATGACAAAAATAACCAAAAAAAAATATTTTTTTAATTATCATTTTAATTTTAAAATTTCCTTATGCAAAAACACTTACCTTAAACTTGTTAGCATTAAAGATAAAAATTTAAGAGCCATTAAACATCATTTATTAACGGAAGGATTGGTAGAACAACAATATGAAAATATGAAAAATCTTCTTAAAGTAACATCGCGTATTACTATTAATCAAGATTTAGCTACAATTATTTGTAACTTTATTATCAATTATGCAAATATTTATGGATTTCCCTTACTAGGTCGTCATATGCAAACAGATTCTTTAGCAATTATTTTATTGCCAACTAAAAAAAATTATACTAGGGTTTATGAGAATTTTGTTATAACTAGTAGAGAATTAGATAGTTATATATCAGTAATATCATACAAGAGTTTCATTCAACTTTGGAAGAGTCTTACACCACATGTTAAATTTATGACATCTGTGATGTATATGAAATATTAAAAAAAAAATTCAATATGCAAAAAACCTTGATGAAAAGGGTAAAATAGGATTGGATTTAAAGAATCATA